CGCACCAACACCCTTGTGAGAGCCTTCAAGCAGGGACATGCATAGAGGTACATTAGCAACAGACGAATGGCAGCTTAAACGAGCTATCAAAGGAAACAATGTAAAAGTTCACACCGCAGCTGCGCATTTGGCAATATCCACAGCAAATTTACATGCGGCATGGAAACAAAGGCGTTGGCAGGTCAATTAACCAATGGGATCCATAAAGATCTCAGCCACAGAAGGTGTTAGTCACCACGTCCCAAGCAAAGGATTACAGGTCCTGATGCAGGGCCAAACCCTGTAGGTCACTACTGGCAAGTGATGACACAAACTACTTTGCCTGGACTGTTACGGATTGGACTAGGGGCAGACAAAGCGGACTGTGTGTGTGTCTGTCACAACGCCAGACACACACCAATAACATACTGGTTTCCACCCAGTCTGGTGACTCAAAGCCCAGGCAGAAGTTTCTGAAGCCAGCAAAGCTGGACTGAGCATCACAGGGGGCAGAGAGTGGAGGAGGAGAGCTGCCTTGGGATCGCCAAGAATCACAGACAGTTCTAAAAAAACCACAAAACTGGCTTTTCTTCGCCTTTCAGATTCAAGCCCACGGAGTGTGTCAACTTGCCGTTTCAGATCCTTTCATTACGAAACCTATCTAGCAGCAGGACAGAGCGGAATCATACCGATCCTGGACCCACACTCGAATGTCAGCTGTGGTGAATGGGGCGATTTCCCAGAACTGCCTGCAACATTTCACACCTATGCTGCCCAGGAGAGATATTATCAGGGTGTCCGGAGAGTGTGATGATGTACAAAACTCACTGCAAAAACACTCGTACTGTTTCATCGGGAATCAGGCATCATATCTGAGAAATGTTGCTGGATAAAGAGCTTCACAATATACTGTGGTACCACTACAAAGACAATAACTCAATGCATGAGGCATTACAGAAAACATGGAACATACCACCAGAAAAAAATAACTGTAGCAGAGGATCAGCATTTTCTTTTTTGTGCATACTGTCAATACACAGAGACAAATAGAGAATAAATCAGTACAAATATTGGACATTCAGAAATAAATTTCTGCTTAAAACTTTATACTTCAAAAATCGAATGATCACACCACTGCAGCCCTTTAGAAACTGCAGCTTTCCAGACAGCTGATAAGACCAGAACAAAATCAGCAGAGCCATTCATTTAGAGACTATAATCATAAGAAGGCTGCAAATGTTTAACGAGTAGCTCTGAGCATCTAAGATTGTTCTAAGCACAACTCCAGGCGTCCTCCTACACGGAGAACTGAGCCGATTCACCATTTGATCAGGAACTACTAAACAACGGGGAGAAGAAGACAAAGAGGGCTTTGAAGGAGAAGGTAGCCCACGGGGGACAAGGAGCACGACGCTCCGGGCTTATCGAGTGGCGCTGGTTGTAACCGGAGCCGGAGAGGAACACAGAGAGCAGCAGGGGGTAAGGAGGCTCCGGAGCTAATGAGAGGGCTCAGCTCACAGCTGGTGGGCAGGAACCTCGCAGCTCTCCGTCAAGGCGTACCCGTCGCCTGAAGCACATCAAGCGCAAGAAACAGAAAATCTATATATAAGTCTAGCATTCCAATTTGGGCCTGTCCTGATGCAGAAAACAGATGTTTAACGGCGTCCTGTGCAAGCTACAGCCAGATATATGGATTATCTTCGGAGGCAGCAGAAAACGCACCACCTCAGGTAAGCTATAATCTGAAATGACCCCATATGAACCACATGACAGACAGAGGCGGGCCTATTGGACTCAGCCCCGCCCCCTTACAGAGCAAACCACTGTGATCTTAGTGCTCTTCCCCCAGGGAACAATGGTGATTACACCAGTTTCATTCTACAGCTCACGTCAAAACAACCAACCCTAAGTCATGAGGGTAAGGAGTAAAAACAAGCCTCTGATTTATTATTTTTGCACATCCCATCTTACTCTCCTTTGAGATATATGCATATACAGCTGAGAGGCAAGCTTGGGATACAACCTCAGGGTGGGCAATTTATCCGGGACCCCCGAAGCATTTGTTGAGAGTGTTAAGGGCCTTGCTCAAGGGCCCAATGGAAACGGATCGGCTGAGGATGGCATTTGTAACGGTAACCTTCCAATCACAGACACAGAAGCCTAACCCACTGAGCCACACATCGCCCCCAACGGTTTATGCCAACAAAGAGTTATCTGTCAGAAAGCCAAGGAGACGGATCATTCCAGTCCAATCTGCCTGCAGTGAAGCCAGGCAGCGTCATTAATCCAGGCTTCTGCTTAGTCCCCCTAGACCTGCTCCCCTCCCACCCTGCTGCACAGCTACTCTCTAAAGCTGCTCATAGAAGATGAAAATGAATTGAGAGTCAAAGTTAGGAATGTGACTGCACATGCAGCAATAATAGTGAAATGCAGAAGAGCATGGTCTCTATGAACCGAGGGCACATGTCGGGCATCTGATAGGTATCCTCTGAAGGATGACTTATATCTGCGGGGAAGTACCTACTGAACACCACACCACTCCCAGAGCTGTCAGCTTTGAAGCTAACATAGCCCAACAGTCCCAAATTCATTCAGCACCCCTCCCCCAATGACAACCTCTGCCAAAGGGATCCATGGGAGACTTTACACAAGTTTCCCGCCTCAGCTACTGTTGTGAGTCCATATGTCTTCATGAGTGCACGACGTGATTTCACAACAGGTCTACAAATCCTCCCTTTGCCCGGGTGAGGAGCTTGCGCAGATGGATGCACTCACAGCTCTTGGTGCGTTCGCGCTGAAGAGCCCGCCCTTAGTTCCCTTCTGTGAAAGGCATGTGCAGTTTCCAGAGAAGGTTATGTGAGTACTCCCGATACAAGCCTGGTCTTATAGGCCCACAGAGGTGAAGAACATGAGGCTTATATGCATCAACATGCATGTCTGTTAGCTAGATAACGGAAACAAAAGAAGCTAAGGCCCAGGCCAACACAAACGTGATGGACCCAGGTACAGACAATGCAGCGAAACAGAGGTGCATCACACTAGCCACTACCTACCAAGATATCAATTTGGCATGTCTGGGAAATTGTGCAACAGCTAGGGGTTTGATATACAAGGGCATCCAGAGCCGAGAGCAAAAAACTAGCAAATTGTTTGAAAAAAAATGGATAGTATAAATGGCCCACAGAGATTAGTCTGAAGGTAGAGTTGGCCCACTTGTTTCCATCTCACTAATGTTGTCTCTTGCCAGCAAAGACCTGGCTACACTTTCCTCTGCACATCCATCCAAAAAAGCACTTTCCACTTACAAACAGACTAAGCTAAACCTGCAAACAGACTAAGCCAAGTGTCAACTCTGTCCCCCGAAGAATGAAGATGAGCAAATAGCATTGACCAGTCAGGTCATAAAAGGCACAAACTATAGCTGCCCAAACTAAGGCTATGAGAGTCCCAATCCAGACCACTGCCCTGTCAACAAGAATCAGATTTTATCAAAATCTTTTGCAAGATGATAATACCGGCAGACTCACGCCTTAGTGAAAAGACTGACAGAGCGCCAGGGAGGCAGGAGGAGAGACTTCTGGTGCAACTGCAGCCTTACAAACACTGGAGCACCGCAGTCTGAGGAATTCCACCCGTAATCGTTACCTCTGGACGCCAGACCACAGCATATTTAGCGCCTCATGATTCCACTTCCTCATTCGGCCGCCAAGGGCTCCACGTGTGGAGTGATCTTGGCAGTGGACAGCAGCAAGCATCACAGAGAAAAACCCCTGCTCTAGAACAGGAGCTCCCACAAGCCAGAAAGCTATGCTCCACATCCCTCAAGCTCTCTCGCCATTAGCAGAGAGCACATGGTGCACAGGCAATAAACATGACATGCAACGCACACTCCCACCTAGACACAAAGGCCAGGACAGCAGACCTGACTGACGTTCTCAAGAAGGCCCATCCCACTAACTAAATACTCTGTAGAAGCCGAGTCCAGGGGCTGTTACAGATCCTTCAGAAATAGTAACTGAACCACACCGGACTGTAATTTGCAGATTTCAGTGTAGCTCTCTCACACACAGACATACAGATGCACACAATACAGTACATGAATGCAAAGCATGCTGCTGACCCATTGTATCACTAAGTACCATCTTCTCTAGTTCCCCTCACCAAGAAGTGTGAGGTTGTTGTTCAGTCACACCTTGTGGATCAAAGAGTGCCTCAACATGACCGAGGCCATCGGCTCCCACCCAGCTGCCGATGTGCACAGTGTCCTGCCTATCCGGAAAGGCAAGGTCACATGACCCTGTTTGGAAGGTTCCAAAACACACACCTGCTAGCAACGTGATATCACTCCTGTGATATTATCAGACTAGCAGGCTCAACCACAGCAGCACCAAACATCACTTTCAGGTTAACCTGAAAGAACAATTTTATTTACACGACACAATAAAAATGGGATCTTTGAGGACAGCGCCACAAAAGTCTTGCCCACAAAAGACATCCTCTTTTACCGTAAAATGACGTTGACTCACAACCTTTGCAGGTCGCACGTCATACACAGTTATCATCTGCCATCAAAACCATGACACTGCTCATTGGCACAGGTTCTTCCATAAAAAAAATACCACTCTGCGATAAACTATATATTGTGGGTTGGCTGGCAAAATCTTGTTTTTTCCACATCTGCCAAGTCTGGTCAGATTGGTCTCACGGTAGCTAAACTGCCAGAGACACAAGTTGGGAATCGTCGCAACAAGCCCTGCAGTAAATACCAGTATCCTGGCAGCCACAGGTGCCTTTAGCAGTGGACCTTAGCAGGTACTCATCGATCAGCCCATTCCTCATAAGCGGGGGAGGGGGGAACGAGAGAGTGGCCAGTCCTCAGAATTTAGCCTTAACACAAACATGCCGTTTCGTATGTAGCGTCACAGAAAATAACAGTCTGCCACTTGACGCTCGTAAAAAAAAAACAACCTCACCGCTCTCACTGTCACTGCAAATTAACTAGAAAATTTCATTCCTCTTACCTCAAGCACTGGTCCCGCACCCAGGATGGTCTGCTCCACACCACTAGCAAAGCCCTTTTGGCTGAGTGCAGTGAGGTGGTGAATGAGAAAGTTGGTGCTCTGGGTCTTGCCCGAGCCGCTCTCGCCAGAGATGACGATGCACTGGTTCCTCTGGCGCTGCAGCATGGCATGATAGGCCACGTCGGCCACCGCGTAGATGTGCGGCTCCAGCTTGCCCAGTCGGTGGTTGTCATACATCTTCACATACTTGGGGTTGTAGATAGGCAAGAACTTGAAGGGGTTGATGGCCACCAGGATGCAGCCCACATAGGTATAGATCTTCTCCTCCTTGAAGCGGCTGCGCAGATTCTCCAGCAACGTCTTTTCGTTGAGGTCAGGCAGGTTGCACAGGTCATCGTGGTCCTTGGGCAGCGGAGGTGGCAGGAGGCCCCTCTCCACCAGGCGGCGCCGCTCATCCGTGACCCGTAACCACATCTGCAGGTTGCCGTAGTGAATGGAGCCATCCAGGTTCTTCTCCCGCAGCAGGAAGCGGTAGTCCTCGCCGCCGACGCGGTTCTCCAGCGCCATCCGTGGCCACAGCATCATTCGCTGGGCAGGGCAGTCCGTGGGATTCAGGATCCATTCCTCACCGCCAAACTCCTTCACCTCCGCCAACACATAGCATTTGGTCCTGTCCAGCCGGAGCCGGTCGATGACTTGCCCGATGACCTCCGCGGCTGTGGTGGTCTTGCGGGCCGCAACGGGGCAGTAAATGGTGTCTTCCGCGATGCTCCCCGGGTATATTCGCAGGGTGAACTCGGGGTCCTCGAAACGTCTCCTACCTCCGACATCATGAAGGCTCATATTGGAGCAGCAGTTCCCATCAGCACGTGCCGCGCACCCGTCCAGAGTGCCCAGGCAACCCCGTCAAGACATCCCAGCTATTGAGGAGAGAGAAAGGAGGATTAGCAGGAGACATGGACCGAATCCTACTCAGGAAGCCGAAGACATGCCTGAATTGTGGTTCAGATACAGCTTTGTGACACCCAGGTGTTAATCGTTCTTGTTTGCAGGAATCTCACTATGACAGGAAGTGCAGGCCGAGGTCACTTCCACTCTGTCTCACAGCTGCACAGGCCTTCAAAAATAAATGAATCCTCCTTCCTATTGTTGATTTAAGGAATTCACAATTGGTCAGAGAAGATGCGTTCTACGGCCGAGGCAGGGGAAGACGTGCAGCCAGCCAATGGTGACAAAGGATGCCTGGCGGGCAGCCAATCGGCTTTTGAGCTGCAGGCCGAGCAAGGGCAAACGGACCACCTGCCAAGCCCTGCAGCTGCTGCCCTTCTGACAGGAGAACTTCTAATGAGGAAACAATGCCGCATCTCAGCACCTCTCCGCAGATGTCATAAGAACAGTTGCTAGGGGTTACCATTCATTGCAGGCAGACTAATATAAGAAATTAGTAAGAAATACAAACAGTCTTTATAATAGACACTACTCAGTCAAAATCAATGGGTATTTGAGGATTACATAAAAAAGTGAAGTACTAACTTTGTAAGGCACACTTTAACATCTTGAAATTGAAAGGACTCACACATTAAAATGACACTGACTTTAAGTGGTATCTTCCTTCTTGAATGCTTAAATTTTGTGGAAGACAACAGGAAACATCTGATATGATACAGGACCCCTGATCATGATACAAATACAAGTATTTGGGACCGAGACCACCAGATCAAGTCAATATGAGTGTATCTCGATAGTTATAGGGGAGAGGCAAGATGTTAAGTACAGTACTGTAATATACAGAAAGTACTCTACAGCAAATAATAATGCAAATAGCAGCAGTTTATATCAAAAAGAGACTACACTTAAATTTTATGAAAAATAAGGCACAAAAATAAGGCATCACAAAATCAAGATGCAGAAAGGTAGCAAATAACAGAAGCTGAGAAAGACGACACTCAGCGTCCGCTTTAACGTGTCTCTCGATCAGTGTATGTTATCTATTATGGACCTTGGAAATAAATGTGATCGGATGTTACTCGATAGGACGGATCCCCTGTACACACTTGATTCTCTACCTTGCTTTGCTGGGAAAATGTGGATTTTTAGGTCATGAAATCAACTTGCAGAACGTTGAGACCATGAAAAGGACACGGATTGGAATATTTTTAATTGTATTTAAAAAAAAATCTGACGGTTGGCTGTCAGTGCTGTGAGGCATTTGCTTAAATTTCCAAGCATAGAGAGAGATTCGACGTTTTGATCTGTCAGTTTGCTAAAAGGGTAAGAAGCAGCCGTATTTCTCCAATTTCTTCATTACTCTAGAAGATGTTAAGGGTGATTCTGACAAGATCTGGGGGCACAATGGTGAGGAACCGGTCCACATTGGGTGAAAAATGGCAGGACACTGCTACAGACATGGGGGATTTACATCTCTGTGGTCGCTAGACTGATATGGCAGACTGGGGGTGTAGGAGCTTAGGGAGGGGTGCAGTTGGTAAAACTGAGTGATCACGGGGGGGTGGGGGTTGTTCAACAATTTATTTTTCCCCAAGTTGGGGCCCCTGTTTTGCGCTGGGTGGGGCCCCCCATATCTGATGGGGCCCTAGGCTGGTCCCTAGAACAGCCTATGCAATCTGCCCTTGGCACACACACCTGCACGTATTTTTATTAACAGCCCAAGAATTTTAAGCAGTTAGGATTTGTGAAGGGCTTAGGTAAATATTTTTGTTTCATTAAAAAAAAAAAAAAAATCAATGAATAAGGGAACGCAAATATTCTGTGAACAAATACCATATGCACCGAAACGGTCAACCTGTTATTATAAATAAATACTGAATATTTACTCGGATATAAATGCATTTCATTTCAAAACATGCATAGTTTCATAAATCAAGTCCATAGCTTTTAAGAAAAAACACCCAGAGAGCCATTCCAGAGAGTCAACAAAGTTTGACTTTCACACAGAAGTACAAAGTGTACACACTACCGTCTTAATGCCTTTTGAAAGAAACTTTTATAATCAGACATTAAAAAACAGAATAGTTAAAAACAGAGATAGGGTGTGTGGCTCAGCAGTCTGGATTGGTTCACCGTGGTCAGCAGAGTGATGTCACTGTTGGGCCCCTGAGCGAGGGCCCTAACCCCCAACGGCTCCAGGCACAGTCTGACCCTGCTTTGGATAAAGTGTCTGCTAAACAAAAATGCAATATAATGAATCACTAAAAATCTAATCTGAAAACAGATAAGCGGAAATGACAAATTAAAAATGATATTTATAGGGGTTTAAGCGCTGAAATCATGTAATACTAAAGCCAAAGAGCAACAGAGGCCAAAACTTCAGCCTGAGCAGTGAACCGTCTTCTGGGAATTAAGAACTGAAAGTCCATCACTGGGCTTTCAGCTGTTAAAACCAGTGGAGGGACCCTCAACCCTTGAATGGTGCGTGTGTCTTCAAACCAGCACTCCCAGTAGTGCAGACGACATTCTTATAAGGGTGCATTCAGGATGTTAAAGACACCTAAAATGTCCTTGCCAGTGTCCCCCACACCGGCACTCCGCCAGGTGCTTTCTCCCCCATCCCCCCCCCCCATCTTCCTGTCTCTGGGGGGATCAGTGTGGCTCCTTTAGGCCTCTGCATGGAGTTATTAAAAAAGCCTCAAAAATGAGAAACAGGAAATAACAGGCAGCACACATACGGACGGCCAAGGTCCCACTGGAAGAAAGGGGGACACACACGCCGCAGTACATGCGCATGTACATGCAGGAATTTAAAGACACCTCAACCCCCACCAGGCTGCCGGCACAAGATTACCCCCCCCCCCCCCGTCCCTGCTTCGCGCTAGAAACACGCAGGAGTGAGAGGGGTGAGCGGTTCCTGGTCGTCTGGGTATATCAGCTCATGCTTCGCTCACTGGCTGCTCTCGTACGTATCCGAGGTCTCAAGCAAAAACAGCTGCTTTGGTTCAACCAGGACAGTTGAGCCCGTCCACCTGGAATTTCACCCGAGACTTTTTCGTCTGGACACTATTGCATGATCAACCTCAAAACAGCACGTGTGTGTCTAAGCTAGTAGTAGCATAGACACACACGTGCTGAGGCCCAAAGCTGACCCATGGAGTGCTGAACCCCACTTCAGGGTCTGGTCACATGACCCTGCTGCTGGGCTAGGGCCAGCTGCAACAAAAATCAGCCAAAACAGACCCGACCCCAAAATGAAGGTAAGAGACAGACTACCTCCAGGGCACAAGAACCTAATATCTTCCCCAGCTCCTCCTTGCTGCAGGATGCCGCTACCTTGGCAAGTCAACACAGACCCCCTGACCGCGTGCCGTGGCCAGGAGACCTTGGCGGTAAGACCCGCCGCGTCCGCGTGGGAATGCAAGAAGCACCTGGAGCAAGGAGTGGGCTGGAGTCGCACGAAGGTAAACGATGGTGCTACGTTCAGTCGCGCACCATGGACCCGCTCTGTTATTTGTGTTAATTCCTTAAAACTTAACATTTATTCTAGTCATCTCGTCTAAAAGTCCGGACTCTTGAGAGCAGAAGGTCCTGTGCAGGTCTGCACGTGCTCAGAGATTTCCACCCTGACCCTTCTTGGGGGGGAGGGGAGATCTGTGCCCTGGATCAGGTCTCACAACGTTCTCCACACTGTCCTCTAGGGGCGCTGTCCCTGTGCTCAGACCCCCAGCTTGCACGCTGAGGCTGCCCAGTTCACTTTTCCTGCGCATGGCTGTCACGATGCTAGAGAAGCCAGCTGCAGGTGTCCCTGCAGCCCTGTCTGACAGTATGCTTTTACATCCCGCTCTCACTGCCAATGCTCTCACTCCAAAACACACAGGCCTTTCAGCTCAGACTGTGACACCGGGGGGGGGGGGGGGGACTGGCAGCCTCACGTGCGGGTCTGACGTGGGGTGGGGCACAAGGCATTGGGACAGTGGGCTTTTGTTCAGATTCCCGGGCCAGTGGAAGAGGCAAGAGGCACAGGAAAGGAGAATCGGGTGATCAGAACCTTCAGCCTATCTGGGCACGAAGCCCCCACTGAACATCCCAGGGGGGGTCAGGTGGGATCACCCCCCCCCCCAACCCCATGTCAGCAGCAAACCACACTCCAACTGTGAGATGCTTTAAATTTGCAGAATTAACAGAATCACGTGACCCTTCAATGGGTGGAAACAAGACACGCAGCAACGGAGATAATTTTAGCGCAACAGCACGGAAACGAAAGAGTCATTTTGACCTCAGCAAAAGAGAAATGCAGGAAACAAGAACCATTATTTAACGGTAAGGGTGTGGGCTCAGGCATTTTCTAGGACAAGAGACAAACAGAACTTCTCCTTCCATAAACAGTTATAAGGCACAGGTGAATGCCATGAATGTGCCCATCACCAAGGTTCACAGCCAAGCAGTAAAATAACAGGTCTGGACCGACCCAGAAACACTTTCTTACCTATCAGGTTATCAGGTAGTAAAATAAATAGCTTGGATCCCCTACAAACTAAAAGCAGACTCACTGTCATACAGAAGGAAAACTTCAAAATTTCAAAGATACACAGTTTTTATTTAGCTATTGCTGACACACGCCCAGAAGGGGCATTATTAGGTGCAGAAATCTGGTAGCAGGAAGACATTTTTCCTCCAGAAAGTGAACTGTGTGTTCAGAGAAGCTGTTCTGTACATCACTGTTGTACTGAGCTGTGTTTTCTGCCCGTCACCTGTAACAAGTTTGGCCACGAGTCTCCTGTGACGAGTCTCCTGTGACGAGTCTCCTGTGACGAGTCTCCTGTGACGAGTCTCCTGTGACGAGTCTCCTGTGACCTCTCTCATTAACTAGGTGTTTTCAGCAACAAACTGCTGCTGACTGAGTGTTTTCTTCATCACCCTTTTCTATAAACTCTAGACATTGTATTGTGAGAAAATCCCAGGTGGGTCT